GGGAGATCATACAAACTCCACTCACTCACTCTGTATAACAGGGGGAGATCATACAAACTCCACTCACTCTGTAGAACAGGGGGAGATCATACAAACTCCACTCACTCACTCTGTAAAACAGGGTGAGATCATAGAAACTCCACTCACTCTGTATAACAGGGGGAGATCATACAAACTACACTCAATCACTCTGTATAACAGGGGGAGATCATATAATCACCACTCACTTATTCTTTAAAACAGGGGGAGATCAAACACAACTTCACTCACTCACTCTGTAGAACAAGGGGAGTTCATACAAAACTACACTCACTCTGTAGAACACGGGGAGATCAAACAAACTCCACTCAATCACTATGTAGAACAGGGGAGATCACCTCAAACTCCTCTCACTCATTCTGTAGAACAGGGTGAGATCATAGAAACTCCGATTACCCTGTAGACACAGGGGAGATCATACAAACTCCTCTCACTCCCTCTGTAGAACAGGGGGAGATCATACAAACACCACTCACTTCACTCTGTAGAACAGGGTGAGATCATAGAAACTCCACTCACTCTGTAGAACAGGGGGAGATCATACAAACTCCACTCACTCACTCTGTATAACAGGGGGAGATCATACAAACTCCTACTCAATCACTCTGTAGAACAGGTGGAGATCATAGAAACTCCACTCAATCACTCTGTAGAACAGGGGGAGATCATACAAACTCCACTCACTCACTCACTCTGTATAACAGGGGGAGATCATACAAACTCCTCTCACTCACTCTGTAGAACAGGGGAGATCATACAAACAACACTCACTCATTCTTTAGAACAAGGCGAGATCACACAAACTCCTCTCACTCACTCTGTAGAACAGGGGGAGATCATAGAAACTCTACTCACTCTGTAGAACAGGGTGAGGATCAAACAAACACCACTCACTCTGTAGAACAGGGGGAGATCATGCAAACTCCACTCACTCACTCTATATACAGGGGAAGATCATACAAACAACACTCACTCATTCTTTAGAAGAAGGTGAGATCACACAAACTCCTCTCACTCACTCTGTAGAACAGGGGGAGATCATACAAACCCCTCTCACTCACTCTGTAGAGCAGGGGGAGATCATACATACTCCACTCACTCACTCTGTAGAACCTGTGGGAGATCATAAGAAACTCCACTCAATCACTCTGCAGAACAGGGGAGATCGTACAAACTCCACTCAATCACTCTGTGGAACAGGTGGAGATCATAGAAACTCCACTCAATCACTCTGTAGAACAGGGGGAGATCATACAAACAACACTCACTCATTCTTTAGAAACAAGGCGAGATCACACAAACTCCTCTCACTCACTCTGTAGAACAGGGGGAGATCATAGAAACTCTACTCACTCTGTAGAACAGGGTGAGATCAAAACAACACCACTCACTCTGTAGAACAGGGGGAGATAATGCAACTCCCTCACTCACTCTATATAACAGGAGGAGATCATACAAACAACACTCACTCATTCTTTAGAAGAAGGCGAGATCACACAAACTCCTCTCACCTCACTCTGTAGAACAGGGGGAGATCATACAAACCCCTCTCACTCACTCTGTAGAGCAGGGGGAGATCATACATACTCCACTCACTCACTCTGTAGAACATGTGGAGATCATAGAAACTCCACTCAATCACTCTGTAGAACAGGGGGAGATCGTACAAACTCCACTCAATCACTCTGTGGAACAGGTGGAGATCATAGAAACTCCACTCACTCACTCTGTAGAACAAGGGGAGATCATACAAACTCCTCTCAGTCACTCTGTAGAACAGGGGGAGATCATACAAACTCCACTCATTCACTCTGTAGAACAGGGGGAGATCATACAAACTCCACTCAATCACTCTGTGGAACAGGGTGAGATCATAGAAACTCCACTCAATCACTCTGTAGAACAGGGGGAGATCACACAAACAACACTCACTCATTCTGTAGAACAAGGCGAGATCACACAAACTCCTATCACTCACTCTGTAGAACAGGGTGAGATCACACAAACTCCACTCAATCACTCTGTAGAACAGGTGGAGATCATAGAAACTCTACTCATGCTGTAGAACAGGGTGAGATCAAACAAACACCACTCACTCTGTAGAACAGGGGGAGATCATACAAACTCCTCTCACTCACTCTGTAGAACAGGGGGAGATCACACAAACTCCACTCAATCACTCTGTATAACAGGGGGAGATCATACAAACAACACTCACTCATTCTTTAGAACAAGGCGAGATCACACAAACTCCTCTCACTCACTCTGTAGAACAGGGGGAGATCATAGAAACTCTACTCACTCTGTAGAACAGGGGGAGATCATGCAAAACTCCACTCACTCACTCTATATAACAGAGGGAGATCATACAAACAACACTCACTCATTCTTTAGAAGAAGGCGAGATCACACAAACTTCTCTCACTCACTCTGTAGAACAGGGGGAGATCATTACAAACCCCTCTCACTCACTCTGTAGAGCAGGGGAGATCATACATACTCCACATCACTCACTCTGTAGAACATGTGGAGATCATAGAAACTCCACTCAATCACTCTGTGGAACAGGTGGAGATCATAGAAACTTCCACTCACTCTGTAGAACAGGGTGAGATCAAACAAACAGCATCACTCTGTAGAACAGGGAGGAGATCATGGAAACTCCACTCAATCACTCTGTAGAAACAGGGGGAGATCATACAAACTCCACTCAATCACTCTGTAGAACAGGGGGCGATCATAGAAACTCTACTCACTCACGCAACCACTTCAGAACCATTTAAACCGGAGGAGTGTGAATTTCTGATAATCAGAATCAACCTCAGAATCATCATTGCTACCATCAACATCACCATCATCATGGTCACAATCTTTAGCATCGTCATCGGTATCTGTGAAACAAACACCAAGACTACCATCATCATTTTAATCACTCTCAGCATCACGATCGGTATCGTCAGTCATTATTATGATCATCATCACCATCAGTATCATCATAGTCATCATCACGATCATCATCAGTATCATGATCATCAGAAAACATCATGATCAGCATCATCATCATCATCCTCATCCGCACCATCATCTTAGACTATATACAACACGATACACTACACTATACTACACGACACACTACACTATACTCTGCACTACTCACTACTGTACACTATAAACTACACTATACACTACACTACGGAAACACTGCAATATACACACACTACATGACTATACACTACAAGATACACTACACTGCTATACAGTACACTATATAGTACACTAGTATATACTACACTACCCACTACAATACTAAACACTTCGC